TTTGGATAGAGGTTTGTCTGTCTTGTTGATCTTCTCAAAGAACCAACTCCTTGTTTCATTGATTCTTTCTAATGTTTTCCTAGTTTCTACTTTAATGATTTCAGCCCTCAGTTTGATTATTCCTTCCAGAACTTTCTATAGTGCTGGATTTGTGTTCTAGAGCTTTCAGCTGTGATGTCAGATCTCTGGTGTGGCTATTCTCTAGTTTCTTCATGTGAACACTTAGAGTTATGAACTTTCCTCTTAGTACTGCTTTCAAAGTGTCCTTTGCTGCTCTTAATATTTTCTCTTTATTCTGAAGGTTTGGTGTTTTGATTATTATGTGTCGAGGGGACTTCTTTTTATGATCCAATCTGTTTGGTGTTCTGTAAGCTTCTTATACTTTCATAGGCATATCCTTCTGTAGGTTGGGGAATTTTTCTTCTATGATTTTGTTGAATATATTTTCTGTACCTTTGAGCTGTATTTCTTTACTTCTTCTATACCTATTATTCTTAGGTTCGGCTTTTTCACGGTGTTCCATATTTCCTGCATAGTTTGTGTTAGGGATTTGTTGGACTTGAGATTTTCTTGGTCAATGACTGTATATCCTCTAGAGACTCTTCAACAACTGAGATTCTCTCTTCCATCTCTTGAATTCTATTGGTTATACTCACATCTTTAGTTCCTGATCATTTATCCAGCCTTTATATTTCCAGCATTGCCTCATTCTGTGTTTTCTTTATTGTGTCTATTTCAGCTTTCATGCCTTGAACTGTTTCCAGTGCTTCCTTCACTTGTTTGTTTGTTTTTTCTTGGCTTTCTTTAGATTCTCTAAGAGATTTGTTTACTTCTTGAATTTTTTGGTTTGTCCTTTCCTCCATTTCATGTAAATTTTTGCTTGTTTTTTCTTCTATTTCTTTAAGAGATTTTCTTGCTTAATCTTTAAAGGTCTCTATCATCTTCCTAAGATAATTTTTGAGATCCATCACTTCTTCATCCTCTGTGTTGGGCTTTTCAGATCTTGCTGGTGTGGAGTCCCTAGATTCTGGTGGTGTCATATTGGTTTTTCTGTTGTTGAGTGTGTTCTTATTCTGTCTTCTTCCCATCCCTTCTTCCAGTGAGTGCAGTTGGAGGTCTCTCCCTTTCTCTGGTGGCAGGCAGAGGGCCCAGCCTCTGGCGGCAGCCGAATGGCAGAGAGTGCTGGGTGGACAAGGGTGGGGTGTGTCCAGACTCAGGGTGGGCCTTCCCCATCTGGGCAGGTCCACTCTTGCCCGGGTGGGCTCAGGCAGAAGTGATCAGGGTTTCATGGGTAAGGTTGGGGGATCCAGAGCAGCGCCTGCCTCCCCTGGGGCTGGGGCACATGCCACAAGACAGAGGGCAGAGTGTAGACAGGAGTGAGGTGTGTCCAGACTCAGGGTGGGCCTTCTGGTCTGGGCAGGTCCACTCATGTCTGGGTGGGCTCAGGCAGAAGGGGGCAGGGGTTGATAGGGGATGTTGGGGGGGGGCAGAGCATCGCCCAGACTCAGCTGAGGCTCGGACACCCACCGCAGGACAGAGGGCAGAGTCAGGGTCATATCTTTAAAGAAAAAAATAACTATCTTTCCTGAATATAGCACCAGTAGCACAGACACTGAGATCGACAATTAATAAATGGGACCTCCTGAAACTGAGAAGCTTCTGTAGGGCAAAGGACACAGTCAACAATATAAAACAGCAGCCCACAAAATGGGAAAAGATATTCACCAACCCCACATCTGACAGAGGGCTGATCTCCAAAATTTACAAAAAACTCAAGAAGCTAGTCTCCAAAACACCAAATAATCCAATTAAAAAATGGGGTATAGATCTAAATAGAGAATCCTCAATACAGGAATCTCAAATGGCTGAAAGGCACTTAAGATGCTGCTCAACATCCTTAGCGACCAGGGAATGCAAATCAAAACAACTCTGAGATTCCATCTTACACCGATCAGAATGGCTAAAATAAAAAACACCAAGCACAGTTTATGCTGGAGAGGATATGGAGAAAGGAGAACACTCCTCCACTGCTGGTGGGAGTGCCAACTTGTACAGCCATTGTTTCTTTTTAACCAACTCAGTAATCCTTTGAGATGACTTCCCCAGGCACCCTTACCACCTGCAGACTGTGCACAGTGCAAGGAAGAGAACTCAGCATTCACTCAGCGGGGCTGTGCCCCAGGAGTCCCCCTTTCCATCCCCTCCCCCACCTTCTCTGGTGCCTTTCCCATGAGATGCACAATAAGCAAAACACTACATCATGCTTTCCAGACTAAAGGATTTGGGTTCTGTAAGCACTGTAAGGCTTTCTTCTTTTTATGTTTGCATTATGTGCATGAGTGAAAACACTTCTTGTAAGCTCTTAATGAATCATCGGTGTTCCACCCTATGTGCATGAAGCCTTCCCTCTGTATGTTTGTAAGCTGGTGTGGGAAATGCCACTGGAGATCCCTGCATACATCCTCGACTGCTCACAAAAGGCCTTTTTTTCCCCTCCTTTACAAGGCATATCACTCAATTTTGAAAAACAATGTTTTAGTAAATCTATAGAAGCCTAAGGTAGCAAGTCGTGTAATTAACTCTCCTCATTCGTTCAGCATTTATGTGGTGAGCATTTACGGTGAGCATGGCATTGTACTTGGGATGAAAACATACTGATGAAGTAAATGAAGAGCATAGTCCTATGGGACCTTGGGATGCTGGGTTGGGGAGTAGGTAGGTCCAGATTACAGCTAGAAGCAGTGAGGTTGAGCTCCCTTGAGAGAGTGGCAGGATGCAGCCAAGTGTCCTAGCACATTCCTGGGATGAATAAGATTTCTGGGATAAGAAAATTAAATCATGGTGGTATTAATCCTTTAATCCCTAGTAGCACTGAAGTCTAAGTAGAAAGAAAGAAGCCCTCACAAACGAATCAGGTGATTTTCCACATAAGGGCAGCAGTGTTCAGATGTAGCTTTGATGATCATGATGCTAAGAAAGAAACTGTGTGTATTAATGAGCTACTTTGTTGTCTTTTCGATTTAAATATTTAAATTGCCCGCAATGTTAATGGGCAACAAAAAGAACACATATCTGGAAACACACCACAAAACATTTCTTGCATTAATCTCCAGATTACAATTTCTTTTCAACAAATGGAGCACTAAAAGAGAAATCATTTTTCACTGTTGTTAATCAAAGACTTAAGTAAGATGTGCCTTCTGTGGTCATCCATGCTGTGTCTCTCACTGCAAGTGACCTTCTTACATCCCCAGAGCTGCTAAAACAAAACCCCTTGTGTCAGTTATTTCAGTTTCTCATCTAGTTTCAGTGCCTTTTATGGGTTTGCAGTCTTGCTGTTGTGTAGAATTCTTTCAGTGCTTTCTGTATCCATACTGTGGCCATTTAAGACCGTGGTCAAATTTAGTTAAGTCTCAAGGATGGTGATCACTTTAACTCTATGAGCATGTGACATTTTTGTTTTGTTTTAAAGAAATGTCTGATGCACCCACTTCGAAGTTAAAATCGCCTTTCCAAGATTCTGTGGTTTGAAAGCAGTGCATTTACTTTCTTATTGGTAGGTTATTAAAGCGGTTGCAGAAGATGGAATCCAAGAAGAGCACTGTTTTCTTTCCCTTTAATAAACCTTAATTCAGTGCAGTTGTCTGTAGCCAGTTTTCCAAGGAAAACAGTGCTTGGGCTCAGACAGAGGAACCTGACTCTCCAAGGCCAAAGCTGTTTCCCTTGTTGTTTCAGATAAGGAGACAAGGAGGTATACAGCTCCTGGTGGACCTGCTGGATCACCGGATGACGGAAGTCCACCGTAGTGCCTGTGGGGCTCTGAGGAACTTAGTGTATGGGAAGGCCAACGACGACAACAAAATCGCCCTGAAAAACTGTGGTGGCATCCCAGCCTTGGTGAGACTGCTTCGCAAGACCACAGACCTGGAGATTCGGGAGCTGGTCACAGGTTAGACTTCTCATTAAATGATTCTGTTTTGTTTCGAGATACCTGTTTCATTTTCCAGCCCAGTAGCAAATGTGTGAACCAAGTGTTATAACCCAGAACCTCCCAGAACTGATCACATAGTCATTCTCCAATTTCAACTGAGTGAGTAAAATACCATCAAAGACAACGCACATAGTACTTTGATCATACTCAATAATTAGAATCCGGTAAATGTAGCTATCACTAGAATTCTATGATCTTACTTCCATCCTTGTCATTTGCTTTAGAAGTAGCTGAGCATCTTACGGCACCCACAGGCCATCATTAGAGTAACATTAGAAATAAATGATAAAAGGACAAAGCATTTGAGCTACTGGTAATCAGGCATATGTTGTGGTTTATAAGTGCACCAAGCATATTGTGGTTCTGATGTTAATTTATTGTGTAAAATACCCCTTCATGCTCAAAGCTCCAAGGATATAGTACTGAATGCTAAAGAACTGTTTGGAAGTTAACTTGAATGCCCTCCCACATTCACAGAACTGGGTTTTAGACTTAATTATTGCAGCTTGTAGAGTAATGAGGGTTTAAAGAGTGAGAATATTGAAAGCATTCCACCAGTACCTTTCTTGGAATAACTGGGCAGAGTAAACATTAGCCATTAACTGTCATCCCAAACTTAGTTAGCCATTAACTGTCATCCCAAACTTGGTAAGTGTGCAGTCTTAACTTGTTGGGGGTCTAATGACATACATGTCCCCAGTATGGGATTCCAAATTGCTCTGAGGTCCCTCTTCTTCATTATGATCACTGCTGTTGTGGGTGATGTTTCGCATCTGGTTCATTAGAGTATTCCTACAATCAAGTATTTGACAAATGAATTGCAAACTCAACTTTCCCAAAAGATCTCTTAATTATCCACTATACCATTGCATTGACCTTCTGTCTCAGGTCTAAAACTTCCCTGTATCTGTGTGGATGAAATATGTGAAAAAATTATTTAAGGACAAATATAGTTCAAGCTATAGAATCATAAACAGGCACACAAGGCTCAAGGTCAAGACCCCCAGTTTCAGTACATTTCCTTGTGTTTTCTTCCTCCGAGTTGGTCGTTCTGTTTCTTGTTCTTAGCTGAGTTTAAACCAGACCCAGAATAGCTCATTCTTTTTTATTTTTTATTTGTCATGTCCTCCCCTCACCCTTACTTGCTTGCCGGCTTCATTTACTCTTCATTTTTGTAAAAGTGGAGGGTTTTTCTTGTGGGAACAATTATTGGTGAGGGTTAGAGTGTTATTAAAGTAATGTTTCACAATAAACTTAGATCGGTCAGGCAAGGTAAGGTCGTCATCATCTGCATTTTGTGATATTTGCAGACTGCTTTGAGGTGAATTATGTAAACTGAACTCTTCCCTGCCGTTATGGTTATGCAAGACCATCTTTATTTTCTCTGGTTGTGCCTGGGAGAAAAGGACTCAATGTGTGTGAGGGAAACCAGATGCTTAGTGATTCAAGATTTTGCCACTGGATGCAGAAAGCCAGGAATGAGGGTCTTCACAGCATCTTCTGCATATGTTGTGCATGCCATTTCATGCTTGGAGAAGACTTGGAACTAGGTCAACTTCGTACTGTCTGCAACACACACCATTACCTGGAAGGTGCTTCAATAGCATTCATCGCATATGAAAGGTGGAGGTAGAAATTGCAAAGGGCCCATTGCATGGCGCATGAGCTGCTGCCTGCTCTTGAGGTGGCTGTAAAGGAGTTGAGAGAAGCTGTAGCATTCTCCAGCTGCTTTTGGAAGATCTTGGAGACCACCACTTTAACCCAGAATAAGGTAGAAATGTCTCTACTTGGACATTTCTTGTACTCCATTTGGAGATATCAAAAGCATACACCCTTGTTAGAAGAACAAGAAGATTCCACATGGGGCAAAGCTTGGGCTGTGGGAAGGATGTAGTGCTTGGCCTGAAGGCAGAGAACTTCCCTTCTTACTCTGCTTCTCCTGAGGAAAGTCAAATAAGTGTGTCCCCACGGTGGCCAACGCTGGCTTAGCTTTCTATCCTGAAAGGAATGCTACCTTTGAAACACCAGTGAATCAACTATGAACAATCATAGTTACCACCCTAGCAGATGTTCTCTGCCTTCCCAGAAGGAGACTGTTGTATTCTCCCTGTAGCTGGAGTTAGCATTGCAGGTGATGTTAAATAGCAACACTTGGGTCCCAGTCCCATCCTGCAGAAGGGGATGGGATGAAAATACCTGTGAGGACAAGCTTGCACAGGGGAGTGGGGGCTAGGAATACAAAGGCTTCTAAGTTTCCCCAGTGGCAGAGATCTGAGGGGACCAGAAAGCCCACATGACTCAGTTGACTTCTCTTGAAACATCACCCCAGTGATCAGGTTTAATCAAAGCCAATCCCCCTGCCTGAGGAAAAGGAAATGAGGTGAACAGAATGTATCTCAGAGAGCCTTAGAGACAAATTTTCATCTTCAGCACTGGCCTGTGTCATCTGCTAAAGGGTCTTTGAAATGCTTATTCTGGTGGCTCCTGCAGAGCTTGGGGAATTCATTATTTTAGTTCAGCTAACCCAGTAAAGCTCCATGGTCACTAAACCCTCCATTTCTCTCTTTCTCCTCCTCTGATACTCTTGTCTCTGTCCAAGTGTCCAAGTCCAGTAGTCTCCTTGGTATAACAAGCCTGCCTGTGTGGGCCCCAGGAATGTCATCCTTTCCATTCATCCCTCAAACACTTCAGAGTGCACAGCTTTTAGGTGTTCTGCTAAGCCTACTGCCAGGGTGAAGCTCTGTTCTGAATGACCAATGCCTGGATATTACTGACTGCTAACTATGTGAAGATACTGTGGTGGTTTGAATAGGCATGGCCCCCATAGACTCATGTGTTTGAGAGCTTGGCCCATAGGGAGTGGCACTATAAGAAGGTGTAGCTGCATTGGAGTAGGTGTAGCTTTGTTGGAGGAAGTGTGTCACTGTGGGGGCAGGCTTTGAGGTCCCATATACTCAAGCTATGCCCAGTGTGGCTCACAGTCTCCTTCTGCTGCCTGTCAATCAAGATGCAGAACTCTCAGCTCCTTCTCCAGCACCATGTCTGCCTGCATGCTGCCATGCTTCTCACCATGATGATAATGGACTAAACCTCTGAAACTGTAAGCCAGCCCCAGTTAAATGTTTATAAGAGTTGCTGTGGTTAGTGTGTCTCTTCACAGCAATAAAACCCAACTAAGACAGAAGTATTCTGACAAATGTGTCCACATTTTATAAACTTACTAGATGAGCAGTGGAGAAGTCAGTGTCTATGTAAGAATGGCTTGCTTCACTTCCTTTGCTCCAAGGAGCCTCCACAAATCCTTTGGGGAATGAGGTCAAGTGTTCATGCATGAATTAAATAAAACTGTGACTTTTCAGTTCTCCAGGAGGCATGATACAGAATTCATCAAGGACTCATGACATGGTGTGTTATAGAAGTTCCCCTAGGTAAAGGGAATTATTTCTGTCTCTGTCTTTCTTCTGTCTCTGAGCTCATATATTGGAATAGAATGTATTGGGAAATGTTGGAAGAACGGGGAGAGAGAGGGGTTCTTTGAAGTCATTCTGTCTATAGTTATACATTATGATTTGCAGAATTGTAAGGGGATTAATTTAGTGATTTTAACATGTTTTATAAACAGGAATCTGGATGAAGTCTAACTATTATGTCGTGGAATCAGCCTCTGTGTCCATCAGCAGGGAAATGAGTAAAGAAAAAAGTGGCATATATACACAACAGAATGTTATTCGGCAGTAAAGAGCAATGTTGTGTAATTCACAAGAACGTGGATGCACCTAGAGATCATCGTATGAAGCAAATTTAGTCAGGTCCAGGAATAAAATTACCACCTTTTCTCTCATTCGTGGATCATAGAATTTATATAGTCATAAAATTGTGTATGTATATGTGACAGGAAAGTAGAGGTGAAGTCTCTAGGGAAACTAGAGGGACTCACAGGAGAGGGAGGGTTGAGTGGGAGCATGACAGGGTCAAGTGCCTTACATACTTGCATTAAAATGTCCGCAAGAAGTGTATTACCACGTGCAAGGTGTATATACCAATTTTAAAAAGATACCAAGGAGTCCAAAGTACAAAAAGTAGGATAAAATAAAGCATAAATTCCATAATTACTTATCGAATAATTCCTGGAAAACTATTTGAACAATAATTAAATGTCAAAATAGAGGTATCTATTTTGTATACAGATACAGCACACAACCACATATGCTGGGAAACACCTGCCTGCTTACTCTGCAGCCTCATCTCACAGCAGCATTATTTCTTTGCTGCCTGGTAGGCCTGAGAATGCATCATTTTCCTCCTGTGCAATGATTATGATGAGATAATGATCAGCGTTGCACTTAACCCCAGTCATAGTTATTCTCTGCTGTCCATTACTCACAATGCTTGGGAACGAGTGAACCAATTAGAAATGCATGCATGTCCTTTGGGCTTGACTAATGGAAGTTTTTCTCTCTCTAAATGTGGAAATAATCAACATAAAATTTGAAATACACAACTGAAGTTTTGAGAATGCTTCACAAATCATAATAAAGCAGCACTTATTGGAACATGGACTTGGTTAGTAAGTTTTACATTGGTTAAAGCAAGTGTCCTTGGGAGCATCACTTCTCCAATAGTAGTGGGTATTGTGTTTATGCTGTGCATGCCCAAATGGCCCTTTCTTTTAATTAAGGAGACCAGCCACTGACTCAACCTTGCCAATGATTTCATTTTTCTTTCTTGGTTTTTAAGTTGGCATACAAAGTATATCATGGCATATACTTCAGTCTGATTCCTCCTACCCCACACTGTTGCCCGTTCTCTCATCTTCTTCTTTTTGGTTCGTTTCTGCCCCATCAACAGTTCCCCTTTCTTTCATACTATGTATTCTGTTACCTGCTCTTTATTTTATCTTCCCTTACCCTAAAATCTCTTCCTCCCTGTTCGTGGTCCCCTGTATGACTTCATGACCT